ATCGGAATATAGAGAAAAGAACAATGAATAAGCACACGTTAAAATCTAGTCTTCAAATCCAATACACTTCAAATGACTAGATGGGCTTTTCTCGCAGTAATTTTGCTTCATTTCAAATATAAACGTACCGACAACATCATAAATGCAGCAGTTTCCAGTCATCGCTCCCACAATTGCTCCCTGCAGCAACAAAAGTAAAGGTTTATTTGAATTTTTCTGCTCAAACTTTTATTGGCAATTACTGAAGTTAAATGTATTCTTGCAAAAAATTAAGCTGAGAGAAACAGCCTAGCACATGGAAGCATTTCATGTTACAGGGTTATGTTGTTCGGACTTAATTTTTTTTTTGCCAAATGTGTTGAGTACAACACAACACTGATTTGCGTTGAGTCTATGTCCAGCACTTGATAATTCAGGACTCAAGGTCATGATATATGATAATACGGAAAGGAGGATGATTAACATTTTTAGGTTAGAAGTAGAGAAATACCATGGAAATGGAACCTTCTTTCATGTCTAAACCATTAACCTTTTTGCATCTACAATACTCAATCTGTTATATATCACTAATCAGCACTAAACTTTTTTTATTTTTTCTTATTTCACTAAAAATATGAAACCGCTTTATTTTTGTGCTAAAACACTAAATTTTACTCCAAATATGACATTGTCTAAGTTTCCTATAGGCTTATTAATTTTACTACTTTTTTTTATATCAAATACACACAAATACCAGTCCCATGTTGAGCCCTTCTTTACTAAGCCATTGTATTTTGACCATAAAATTGTCAAGTCACAGACTTAGATCCATAACCATACCAGATAACTGCACCAAGTCCGAGCAACATACTAAATCAGTGATATCAATGTCTGAAACCCAAGTTCCTTCCATCCAAATTCTACTTCAGATTGCCATATTCTATGTTGTTCAAACAAACTAGTTATGATTTATACCAAAATTCCAGAAGAGTTAAATATATGAGCCACGACCCTGACAAATCTCTACTATATGAAATTTAAAATAAATGAAGTTTAAAACCTTTCCATCAGGATGATAACACACAGCTGTAACGATCTCTTTTATGTCAAGATAATCAACAACCCGACAGCCAAGTACTTCCCAAATGCGAACTTTCCCATCTATTGAACCGCTGATGAAATAATTATCATTCACAGGGTTGAAAGCTACACAAGTTACTGCAACAATAGAAAGAATAGTACAAAAAATCAACATCAAACAATTTGAAAATAATAGCAAGAGAGAACAAAAACTGTTTCCACTCTGTAAACCAATAATTGATTGTATATATCAAAATTTGGACAAACTTACAAAAAGAAAAAGCCCTCACCATAATTGTTATGAGAAAATACCCCGAGGCATCTGTCATATCCAACCTGCCAGAGACGAACAGTCATATCCACGGATGACGAAAGCAGAAACTGCAGCAAGCAGATATAAGATAAACATAATATCAGTTTCCAATGTCCACAAGCAAAATACAAGCTCTGAAGTGCCATCCTTCAAATGTAAATAAGTAATAGCAATGTTAGAAAAAGCTAAGGGCAAATACAGATAGAACCAAGGAATACTAGCTGGCATCAATAGATACTTACTCCTTTCTTGGACCAACAGAGGTCCACGATTTCACCTTGGTGTCCCTGGAACTCATTTAGAGGCTTCTCTAGTATCCGGAAGACCTTTGGGGGTAAAATCACACAAGTTGAGTCTGATGCCCTCCTGAATCTTTTCTTTTTATCTATTTTTTCATCATCATTGTCAAAAGGAGCTAATTGGGAAAGATGATTCATTGTGAAGCAGAGAGATGGAGAATCAGTTTCAGGCATGTCAACTTTTTCTGCTCTTTCATCTTCAATGATTTTCCAGACACGGATAATACAATCTTCACCAGCACTTGCCAAGTATCGCCCATCAAGACTAAACTTCATTGTCAAAATTGAGCCTTCATGTGCTTTAAAATCTTGTCCAACATAGAGAGAAGACAGTTCCTTGGAACGTTTTTTACGGGGTTGAACATGAACAGTTTTCATCCTAGCCCTTGAAGTTGATTCGCGTTTACAGTTCTCTGTAGCAGCATCCTTATGTCTCTCAAGAATATGTGTCATGGCACCTAATTTCCTCAACCAACCTTTCTTCATTTTCCCCTTTGCACCAACCGAATTCCTTGTTTCATCAACTTGTGTACACAGGTGTTGCTGAAACGAAGGAGATGAGGGTGTAGATCTCTGAAATTCTTCAAAACTGACTGACTGATTCGAGCCCGATTCACTCCGATTGTTAGGTATTTCACTTTGACTTGATTCAATTGTAAACTCCATTAGGTCTTGGACATTATCCCCCAAAACATCATTTGATATTGATTTATGTGTAGAAGTTGACCAAGATGACAGTGAAGACTGAT